CCCCCCAAGATGAGGAACCCAAACTAGGAGACCCCTCCCCAAATTGAAGAACCCAAACTGGGAACCCCCCAGATGAAGAACCCAAACTAGAAGACCCCTCCCCAAACTGAAGAACCCAAACTGGGAGCCCCCCAGTGCAGACCCCAGCCCGAGCCGGTACCTCCAGTGGCGCTGGTGCCGGCGGCAGAGCAGGACCACGAGGAGGACGAGGCAGACGAGGAAGAGCAGGGCCACCACCACGCCCAGCCCGGTGGCCACCTTGCTGACCCGGCCCGAGCACTGTGCCCCCGCGTACCAGTACAGCTCCTCGTCCGGGCAACTGGGGAGGGGACGAGGGGGTCACCACACGAGGTGCTGGGACCCCGTGGTGGCCTTTGGGACCTGGTGGTGGCCATTGGGACCTCATGGTGGGTTTTGGGACCTCATGATGGGTTTGGGGACACCACAGAAGGTGTTGGGACCTCGTGGTGGCCATTGGGACCTTGTGGTGGCCATTGGGACCTCGTGGTGGCCATTGGGACCTCATGGTGGCCATTGGGACCTCGTGGTGGCCATTGGGACCTCATGGTGGGTTTTGGGACCTCATGATGGGTTTGGGGACACCACAGAAGGTGTTGGGACCCCGTGGTGGCCATTGGGATCTTGTGGTGGCCATTGGGACCTCATGATGGGTTTGGGGACACCACAGAAGTTATTGGGACCTCATGGTGGCCATTGGGACCTCGTGGTGGCCATTTGGACCTCATGATGGGTTTGGGGACACCACAGAAGGTGTTGGGACTCCATGGTGTACACTGGGACCCCGTGGTGGATATTGGGACCTCATGGTGGGTTTTGGGACCTCATGATGGGTTTGGGGACCCCTTGGTGGATGTTGTGACCCCTTGGTGGATGTTGTGACCCCATGGTGGACATTGTGACCCCACGATAGCCACTGTGACCCATGGCCGGTTCCGGGACCCCTGGTGGCCGTTGTGGCCCCATGGTGGGTTCTGGGACCCCATGGTGGACATTGTGACCCCACGGTGGCCGCTGTGACCCACGGTGGGCTCCAGGACCCTGGTGGCACTCACAAGCAGCGCGGTCCCTCCCGGGTGACCTGGCAGCGGCCGTGGTGGCAGTCCAGGCTCTGGGGCCGGTTGGGCGTGCAGGAGGTGACGCAGTGCAGGACCCCCGAGGAGATGTCGGCCGAGAAGGAGGCGCCATAGCCAGGTGGGGCCCGCTGGTGGCACAGCTCTGGACAGGGGGGACATTGGGGGGTGAGCGGTGAGGGACAGGAGATGTTGGGTGGGCAGGAGATGGTGGGTGAGGGACAGGAGATGTTGGGTAGGCAGGAGATCGTGGGTGAGGGACAGGAGATGTTGGGTGGGCAGGAGATGGTGGGTGAGGGACAGGAGATGTTCAGTGGTCAGGAGAAGCCATGGGGTGGTCTGGAGGGTCCATGGGGTGGTCAGGAGGGTCCATGGGGTGGTCAGAAAGGTCCATGGGGTGGTCAGGAGGGTCCATGGGGTGGTCAGAAAGGTCCATGGGGTGGTCAGGAGGGGC